ACCATTTTTTTGTGTCACTCAAATTTTCGTCATAAAGCGTATGATTTCTTGTAGTGCCTTCAATAAAGATACAGAAAATCCTTTCCTCTCCAATATTATTTCTAGCTCAGAAAATACTGTCAATGATGACATTAATACTCTCACGTTAATGCCCTGCAATGCCCAATTATAGCAATATAATATGAAGGGAAAAATATATTACTCCTATTTAGGGAAAATATTTTGGGAAATTTCCGTTTTCTTGTTTGCAGATGGGTAGTACTTTAAAAAAACATGAAGAATTAATAGAAGAGAAAACAAAGTATAGAATGGGGGCTTAATCCCAATTACCTCCAACAGGTGCATACCCTCAAGAGAAAAACAAAGAAACTGAAGAATACAAGTGCAAACCCAATCCACAACAAATTAGGTAAGGCCAAGCCAGAAAATTTAAAACAAAACAGTGCCAGAAAATTAGCAGAAGCTGGGGGCTGCAATTCAGTTCAACTGTTCTTCCGTTTCCTGATATAACCAATACCCTCACTTTAGTAATGATACTGCCTTCACTCTTTCATAAGATCTCTCCAGCCAATGAATTTTATGTTTTCATTAAAATTTATTTTCAGTGAGCAACCACATTCCCTTCTCTACAAATATGAGGGATTCTCAAACTATTTTGTCATGCTAGTTACCTTTAGTCTTGTTGTTAAAAGTGATTCAATCTCCACTTTTCGAATGTTAAGAATATGGCAGACGTTTACCCCCAACTTCTACAGCCATGGTTTTTTGACCAAATGCAGTAAGGAAATGTCCATGGTGGTGGTCTCAAAGAATTCTCTTTAATCTTTTAGTATAAAGAGAAACTACTCAAAGCATTCTATTTATGTTCTTTTGCTCCCAATGTATGGCTGACCTGCTGAAGGTTTTCCTTTTGTTGAGTTGACCGGTTCATCTTCTTATCTAATTTCTGACTCTTCTTTGGGGTGACAGTAATGTTGCTGGGTTCATCTATATCACTGAGATTGACATGAAAAGGTTTGAAGCCCTTGCCTTTCTTCTGCGGACAAATTTATGCTGTTTTATCTACACCGGTGAGTATGTGCTTACTATTAAGTAATTGTTTCAGGAAGCAATTAACATATCTTGCACCCTGTGCCGGAGAGCTTCCTAGCAAAAATCTTGTAGTGGGGACGTTGGCTTGGATGGAGAATTGAGATACCGCATAGCATGAACATCTTGGCAATTTCATGTTGTTTATTTAGCTTCAAGAAAACTCTCCGGGTCATTGTCTATTGCAACAAATGTACAGTGTTGAGAATTTCTATATATGATTAGGCATGGACTCGGTTCGGGCCGGGCCCGGTTCGGGCCTTGAACCGGCCGGGCCTCGGTTCACGGTTTGGGAGGCCCGGAACCGGCCCGGGTAACCCCGGGTCCGGTTCGGGCCGGGCCGCCCGCCCGGTTCACGGGCCGGGCCCGGTTCGGGCCGGTCCTTTTTTTTTATATATATTCTATACTATATAATTATAATAATTGTTATTAAAAATAAAATTCAAGTGTATTTATTTGAAATAGGAAGTACATTTGAGAATTGAGGAAAAAATAACAATATGAAATACATTTTCGAATAAATATCAATTGGGATTTTCGCCACCGTTGGTTGTTGTTTTACCTTTGTCACATGACTTCATATGTTTCATTGGCATCCCGACTCCGTGTGAACGCCCCAAGCAACACTCTTGCACCACTTGCAAGTTGCCCACCACAGTTCGGTCTTCGGGTCCTTCCACTTATCAAAGTTGTTTTGCATAACAGAAGAATTACTTTCCATCTTTAAAATGGTAGATGTATAAGTAGAAATGTAGGATAATAAGAGAAGATGGAGAAGAGGTGTAGAAAATGAATGTATTTATAGATTTTCTTGAACCCCACCCCCACCCCACCACCCCCGCGACCCCCCTGCCCCCCACCCTAAGCCCCAACGGCTATATAGCCGTTTGGGAGCAATCTCCCACTTCAAAATGTTTTAATTTTTTTTTTGAAAATTATACATATTGTGTATAATTTACTTAGAAAAGTGATTTGATTTAGAAAAGTGTAAGGAAAGTGATATGATTTAGAAAATTATACATATTGTGTAAGGAAAATGTTTTTAATTTTTTAATTAAGTAAAACTATTTTTACTTAGAAAAGTGATTTGATTTATAATTTACAAATGTTACAAAATAGGTGTATAAGTTGTAACTTGTAAGTTTGTAACAAATTAATTAATTTACATATTAATATTACATATTTTAATTTAAAAACAGCCTTTAGATTTTACAAAAATAATTTCAAGTTGTAAGTTATAAGTTTGTAAAATTGTAACCAATTAATTAATTTGAGAAGTGCTACATATAAAGTACAAGTTTACAAATGAATTTTATTGAATTGAATTATTGAATTGATGTACACAATAATATAAAATAATTCAAGTATATTTATTTCAAATAAGAAGTACAATTGAGAATTAGGATGCATTTAAAATATGTAATACATTTTGAAATAAAAAATCAATCGGAATCTCCGCCTTCGGTGGTTGTTTCCTCCATAAAGTGGCGGGTGGGAGCGATGGTCATTTCTTGAGTTCTTCGTTTGGCCTTCAACCAATCATGGAAGCAAACTAGCGTCTCAAGAGAGCTCGGGCTCAACCTCGTTCTATAATCGGTTAGGACGTTGTCGGCCGCACTAAATTCTTGTTCCACGGCAACTGTTGATATCGGCATTGCTAGCACTTGTTTAGCCATCTTTGATAAAACCGGGAACGTTCTTTCATTGTCCTTCCACCACTTAAGAACGTCAAAATCATCCCCAACTTCATAATCAACTTTCATCGTTAGATACAAAGAAAGCTCGTTAACTGAGCTTTGTTCAGTAGCGGGAGTTGCTCTACTTTTTTTCATAAGAGAACCAAATGCAGATTTTAAAAGTGATTTTCCTTTAGATGAAGAAGATGTTCGGGGCATGGGAGGGGGTGCATTACCATATTGTGCATAAAATTCATTATACAATTGATGAAATAAATTACTAACCTCGTTGTATTCTTGTTTAGGGTCGATGGGGTTATCATCGAACTCTTGAGTTGGAAAAAAACAATTATAATAGTAATCTTTACCGGAGTCTGTTGCGTGCCGAGTGTACACCGCTTAGCGGTCCATACATAGGACCACAGATACGGTAGACGAACGAAGACCAGCTCCATGGATCAGACACGAAGGACCAGTTCTCCACCGGAGTCTGTTGCGTACCGAGTGTACACCGCTTAGCGGTCCGTACATAGGACCACGGATACGGTAGACGAACGACGGTTAGCCCCCCAGATCAGGTAGGAGGGACATCGCCCAGATTTATTGCAGACTCACCATTCCTTCCCGGATGGAGTCCTGACAGACGATCGGCTTCTCACAGCCAATCAGGAGAGAGACTTGACACATCACCAGCACGGCCGAGGGCCGTGAGACGATTATCACTCACCGACAGGCCGAGGGCCATGAGATGATCATCACCAGTCTTATGCAGTACGATCGGCCCTTCAGCGCCATCGTACCCAGCTCACGTTCAGCTCGTCCATCCCTTCCAGGGTGGCGACGAACGTCTTATGCATCACGATCGGCCCCTCAGCGCCATCGTGTCCAGATTCATGTTCGGCTCGCCCATTCCCTCCAGGATGGCGACGACCGTCTTATGCAGTACGATCGGCCCCTCAGCGCCATCGTACCTAGCTCACGTTCAGCTCGTCCATCCCTTCCAGGGTGGCGACGAACGTCTCGTATGCAGCACGATCAGCGCCTCTGTGCCATCGTGTCTGGCTCATGTTCGGCTCGCCCATCCCTTCCAGGATGGCGACAAACATCTCTTATGCAGCACAATCGGCCCCTCCGTGTCATTGTGTCAAGTTCATCTCCGGATCGCCCATTCCTTCTAGGATGGCGATGAACGTCTTATGCAGCACGTCTGCCTCCCGGCGCTGACATGCCCGGTTTATCGATGAGAGCCACCGCTTTCTATCACATCTCACATTCCTTCTCTCATACATTGCACCCATACATTACATGCATTCATGCATTCATGCATCATACCTCATACATTCATACATACACACGTGCATCGTGTCTTGCCGGTACCGCGACGTCGGTTTATATATGCATGGACCTCTAAGCTTCTCCGTTGGAAAGCTCAAGTCAGAGTCCTTTACTCTCGCCTGATGCATTCAGGGGGAGCGTGCCTGTGGAGGAGCACCCTTCGCCCGACCCCGTCAGGAAGGGGGGTGCCTCACCGGCAGATTACGTTCAGGAGTGTGGACATCCACTCATATATTATGATTATTCGAAGACACAGGTTCCAGCTAGACAGAGGCAGAGCGTAGGCAAGAATATACTTTCTCGAGCAGATTCGTGCACTCACTACTCAAGAAACTGGGGGACTTGTGTTGGGATATATTATCCCGGCCTATTACTGTTCAGGAGCCCAAGACATTATCCAGTACGGAGCCCGAGCAGCTAGGTCCATTTCGGCCCATTCTGGCCCACTTTTGGCCCGTTTGGCCCATTAGGGTGGAGAACACCCTTTCCCCTTTGTCTATAAATAGGGAGCTTAGCCTCCATGTAAAGGACCCCTTTTTTAGCTCTCCTTCTTTTAGACTTAGCTCAAATACTCCATTAATGGGAGCTCAAATTGTACTGTGTAATGGTGAGGAGAGTCCTAATGAGAATGAGAGGGCTTGGACATTAGCCTAAAAAGTCCCGTGGTTTTCTCCCTTTCCGGGTTTCCACGTAAAAATAGCTTGTTCATACACATTTATACATATATTTACTATATCGTGTTGGATTAAACTCAACAGTATTCATAAACTTTTTTCAAACTAGTCATAAATAATGTAAATTAAGAATATACATATATATATATATATATATATATATATATATATATATATATATATATATTAACCCGGAAGGCAAACCACCAAAATCAGTGGGGTAAATGCCGGGGAACATTTACCAGTGTTTTATTGAAATTAAAAAATGAAACAGACTGAAGGGGGGACCAGACCAAGACCCTTCAGAGAAGGCATACCTCCTCAAAATACAACGAAATAAAAATACTAGAAAGCAGATTAGGGGGGCTAGACCTGACCCAATCTGTCTAAATCAACAATAATGTAAACCTCTAAAAGAAGGAAGTAAAAAAACATTTGGTAGAAACCCCAAACAAAAGCGAAAAATACCAAATGACGAACTCATCTGTTTATCTGCCGACAACAAATTCAATTAGGCAACCCTAATACTCGGATATTCCCATCTGTCGAGCTGAAGTGCCCCTTGAATCGGAAAAGGAAGATCCTCCATCTGAGTGAAGAAGATGGCGCCACGAGACATCTCATAGGAATGGGCCAGAAGATGCGCGACATTGTTAGCCTTTCTATAGCAGTGGGAGAAAGTGAAATTAAGGCGTTTGGCGATGTTTCTAATCGGACCCGCGAGGTAGCTGAACCGTGTGTCTTTCTCTTGACGAAGGATAGAAATGGAGGCTAAAGAGTCAGATTCAATTACTACCTCAGAGTAACCTACAGTGGACAACCAATGAACACCAACGAAAATAGCAGACATTTCAGCCTCCATTACAGAGTGTGCTGTGAGAGGGAAAATCCCCCCAAAAATGAAAGTTCATGTATCGTCTCTCAGAACTGCTCCTCCAGAAGAAGAATTACCGGTAAAAGCAGCATCAATATTCATCTTTAAGGTATCTTTTGGCTTCTTCCAGTTTATTTTTAAAAAGTTAGGAGTGGAATTTCTTTTAGGAGCAAAAAAGATGCGTCCCTGAATAAGAAAATCAGGAGGACTTTGACGTTTAGGAAAAACAATACCTGCAGACCAATTAAAAAGATAAGAGTTGATCATCCTTTTGAAAGAGTCAGGGTCAAAATCTGATGAATGGTCGCCTCAAGTGTAGGATGAATAACATTTCCAAATATGCCAAGAAATGATCCCTGGAATGCAGTGTTTGTAGATGTCAATGATGGTTTTAGTGCCAGCCTCTAGCCACCAAGTAAAGCAAATTTGCCTATGTGACACATTCCAATTGGGAATAAAAATTGAAAACATGCTCATATAATACAACCAAATAGGTTTTATACTTGAGCAATTATAAAAAATGTGAGAGGTTGAGATGGAATCTTTCCTGCAGAATGGGCATTGTGAGGGAAAGGCATGAATGTTGAATCTGCCTAGATTTTCAGGTAGAGGTAGAATATTCTGAAAAAGCTTCCACATAAAGAGTTTAATAGGAAGGAATTGATTTTTGTGCCAGATATGAGAATTAGAGAAAGTAGTAGATCTTTTGTCTCTAATTTCCTGAAATGCAGATGACAGGGAAAAATTACCATCCTGAGATGGAGTCCACACTTGATGGCCATTCTGGAAGTCAACTAACTGTAAGCCTCTTTCATGAATATGACATATTCTTTTCCAAACAGCAGAATCGGGTGGTTTAGCCACCAAATTGTCTCCTCTAGGATATCTTGCATGCATGTAATTTGCTCATATATATATATATATATATATATATATACACACACACACACACACACACACACTTTTATCTCTCCCGCATACTTATATAATTCAAGACATATTTGTTTATTATTATTTTCTTTATTTGTTCAAGTATGCTAGCATTTTTATGTAATATGTTTGATCCCTCCAACTTTTATATCAATTTTAAATCAAATGCCATTTTTTTAGTAACAAACCGAACCGAAACAAACCGAACCGATCAAACCATGGTTCCAAGTTTTGGAGTGTAAAACCGAACCGAACCGAAACCGAACCGAACTTTTACTTTGGTTCTGTATTTGGTTTTAGGTCAAAACCGAACCGAAAGAACCGAACTCACCCCTAGTATAAAGTGATGATAGACCTTAATTTAAAATATGGTCTGCAAATTGTTGAAATTGTATTTTCTAAAGTTCACATGCATTAGTCCGCTTCGACAGAGAGCTCCTAGAGCAGAGTCGCCGCTAGGTAATTTCTGATTTCGATCTTTCTTGATTGAAGTTCGGTCAGTGTTTCCCTAGCGAGATCTCTCGCGTAGGGTTTTTACTTCGCCGTCCTAGTGCGGCGTTTTATTCAATCGACGCAGCTCTGCGTCGGATTGCCGTGGTTTGGACGTAGCTCGGGATGGATGATCGTGGCAGCGAGAAGATGGTGGAAGAAGTGAGAGTTAGACGTAGGGATGATCGGGACATGGTTAGCGTGGAGAGGCTGAACGCTCCATTCGATGACATGTATTTGGGTCATACGGCGGGTACGTCACTGAAAGAGAGTATCAATCGAGCGACGGTTCGACCTCCGCCTGAACCACCACCATGTAGGGGTGGACTCGGGCCGGTTCGGGCCTGGGCCCGACCGGGCCTCGGTTCATGAAAGGGGAGGCCCGGAACCGGCCCGGGTAACCCCGGGTCCGGGTCGGGCCAGGCCTCGGTTCCCTTTATATTTTTTTTTTGGCTTTTCCTAATTAACCCTCAACCCTCCCCCCTCATCCCCAAACCACCTCAAATGGCCCAAAATACCCAGCCCAACCCAAAAACTTAAAAAAAATTCAAAAAAAAAAAGAAAAATAAATAAATTGGCAAGGACCGGGCCCGAACCGGCCGGGCCGGTTCAAACAGTAACCGGTTCGGGCCGGTTCCGGGGCGGACCGCCCGGCCCGAGTCCACCCCTACCACCATGGGTTGTACAAGGTGTTAGAGGCCGTGAAAGTTATCCTAGTAATTTTTATTTGTTTTTTATTTGTTTTCTTGTGTTCATCCTTGTTTTGTTGTTGGTTTTGACAATTTGTTTGAGTTTTTAGCCTCTCTTTATGTGATTGGGTATGGTTGGATCTATGGGAACAGGTTTGACTGTGTCAAGCCCACTACATGGTTAGCTATTCGTGTTGCTCTTTCAGGGATGACCGTCTTAAAGTCTCACCATAGGATTACAGTCGTAGTTGTTGGAGTTCAAGTTGGTGTCAATTTTATTTTCCCTTTATTTGATGTAATGATTCTGAATCTTTTGATATGAATAGAGGCCTGTTTTGATGATAAAAAATAGTTCACATGCATTAGGTGTTGTTCGGGGATGGGTCCTGTAATCTTGTTCGGTTGGATCTATTCCTGCAGGGCCCCTAAACGAGTCTTTAGGCCCCCCAAATTCCAGGGGTCTCAAAATTTAAAATAAGCCCATTAGTATTATATAGCTATATTCAACTTTAATGGTAAATATTTAATAAATTATTAATTCCTGATGTAAAAAACTAAAAATTTTGCTCAATGATTGAATGTAGCGGTGAGCTAGGCATGGAGCCGGTTCGGGGCACCCGACCCGGCTCGGCCCGCTACTGTGCGGGCCCGGGACCGGCCCGGTCATTCGAACTGGTACCGGGTGTTGACCCGAACCGGAGGGGAAAGTGGGGACGGGCTCGGGTATGCTGAAAGGTGAATCGGCTGGGCTGAGCCCGGTTCGGGCCATTTTTTTTTTTTTTGATTGGGCTGGGTGTTTCCGATGGGTTTGGGGTATGGAGGGGCGGGGGTAGGGGATGAAATAACCAAGAACCCCCCCCCCCCCCCCCCCCCAAAAAAAAAAAAAAAAAATTTGAACCAGGCCCGGCCTGAGCCTGGCCCGACCTGGAACCGGTGGATACCTAGGCCGGTTCTGGGCCTACCCCCAAACCCATAAAGCCCGGCCCGGGCCCGACCCGGCCAGAGTCCAAGCCTAGGGTGAGCACGGTCCGGGTCGGTTCGGGGAATTGATAATTCTTAAGAACCGCCGGTTCCATCTGACGGGTGGGTTTGGTCCGAGTATACCAAATCTTTAAATAGAAACTGGACCATACCCCATTTGAAACCGGTTGGTTCGGTTCGGGTTCCCGATTCTTAAAATACCGCTACGCTAACAAAATATCTAATTAAGTATAAATGTCAACATAATATATCAAAAAATCAAATAAAATTATAAAACAAAGTTTTGAAGTAGTTAACAGAATATCTAACCAAAAATGTATAAATCAAATAGCATAACTATGTTGAGAGAAGGGAGCTCTGGGAATCTCTTGTTGATTTTTCAAGAAATATTCATGATACTTGGTTAGTGGGAGGGGATTTTAATGCAATTTCTGCCCACAATGATCATAAAGGGAGAGCTTTGCCTAACCTAAGAAGTATTCTGGACTTCTCTGATTTTATTGCTTCTTGCAATTTTATTGAGCCCAATTTCTCAGGTCCTTATCATACATGGTCAGGAGTAAGAGCTAATGGTTGGGTTTGGAGGAAGCTTGATAGATTCTTGATCAATTCCTTGTGGAGTGATTATTTTAAACATATTCAGGTGGAGGTTTTGGAGAAAACACCTTCTGATCATTGCCCTATCTTAATGAAATGTTCACGGGATAATTGGCAAGGTCCTAAATCTTTTAAATTTCAAAATATGTGGATTAGTCATCCTACCTTCCTAGAGACGGTTGAAAACAGTTGGAAAAAGAATTCTGGAGTTCTGGGGGGGGGGGGGGTTGGTATGAGAGGTATGGTGTACAAGCTTAAATGTCTTAAGAAGGATCTTCGAGTTTGGAATAAAGAGTCTTTTGGCAATATCTTTGAGGATATTAAACTGTGTGAGGATCAGGTTATGCAGGCTGAGAAATCTTTTGAAGATAATCCTAGTGAGGACAATAGAGAAAAATGGTTTCATCTTAAGGCTTTGCTTACCTCTAAGTACAAACTTGAGAGGAAGTTCTGGAAACAGAAGGCTCATATCCAATGGCTTAGAGATGGTGATTCTAACTCTAAATTCTTTCATTCCTATGTTAGAGTTAGACACAGAAGGCAAGTAATTTCATCTATTAAAAGTGGAAATGGACAGCAGGTTACCTCCCAGTCTGATATTGAAGAGGCATCTATTTCTTTTTTTTCAAATCTGTACTCTGTTGAGCCTGAGATAGATGCTGAGGAGATTATGCAGTTCATACCTGAAATTCTGACTGACAGTGATAATCAAATGCTTATGAAATTGCCTGACATGGAGGAAGTTAAGGATGCTGTTTGGAACCTTAACCAAAATGGATCGCCTGGTCCTGATGGTTTTAATGGTAAATTTTTTAAGAAATGTTGGCATATTGTGGGGGGCGATTTAGTCAGGGCTGTGAAGGAATTTTTCATGGGAATTCCAATTCCACAAGGAATCTCTAGCAGCTTGGTTGTTCTGATTCCAAAAATGGATAACCCATCTACCTTTGGTGATTTTAGACCTATATGCCTGTCTAATTTTGTTTGAAAGGTGTGTACTAAGGTTTTGGCTGATAGACTGGCCAGGATACTGCCTAGAATCATTTCTCCTGAGCAGATTGGTTTTATGCAGAATAAGGATATTGTGGATCATGTGTTGATTGCTCAGGAAATGATTCATGCTATTGATAAGAAGGTTAGGGGATCCAATGTGGTGGTCAAACTAGACATGGCAAAGGCTTTTGATAGATTGTCTTGGAAATTCATTGCTGGTGTTTTGCAAAAATTTGGTTTTTCCCATCTGTTTATTCAAGTTATCCTTAATAACTTAGTCTACTTATATGTCCATTTTGGTTAATGGGGTGCCCACAGGTTTTTTTCAGCCAAGAAGAGGTGTCAAGCAGGGAGATCCCCTGTCTCCTTTCCTTTTCATTTTAGCCTCTGAAGCTTTTTCTAGAGGATTGAAGTGGCACATGGATACAGGGTCTATTAAGCCTTTCTGGATGGGGTCATATGGCTATCCTATATCTCATTTAGGATTTGCTGATGACCTTTTAATTTTTTTAAATGGAGAATCAAGATCTTTAATTAACTTTAATAGATTCTTGAAATCTTACCAGCTTGCCTCTGGACAATCCATCAATCTGCATAAAAGTTCCTTCTTGTGTGGCAGAAAAGCAAGATCTGGAATTATTTCCAATATTCTGGGTATGCAGGAATCTGAACTCCCGGTTAAATACTTAGGGGTTCCCTTGCATAAAGGCATTAACAGAGCTCAGTTTTGTATGGATATCATTCAAAAATTTGAGAAGAAGTTGTCAACATGGAAACAAAAAAATCTTTCTATGGGGGGCAGATTAATTCTAATTAAACATGTACTTAATACAATTCCATTACATATACTGGCTGCTGATAGATTACCTAAGAGGATAATTAATATTCTTGAAAGTAAGATGGCAGATTTCTTTTGGGGCTCTTCTTCCACAAAAAATAAGTATCATTGGATAAAATGGTCTCGTCTCTGTTTTCCTACTGAAGAGGGAGGTTTGGGGATCAGAAATCTTACTGACATTGAAAAGGCATTCTCTTTGAAGCTCTGGTGGGAGTGGAAGACTGGGGACTCTTTATGGGCTCATTTTATTAAAGCAAGATATCCTAGAGATCAAGATATGTTGCCTAAAGTAACTGATTCTACTGTTTGGAGGCGACTATGTGCTGTGGATTAAAGAGCAAAGGATCTTTGTGGGGAAAATATTGATGGTAGTTTATTTTGGGAACCTGAAACTGATGGGGTTTTCTCCTTTAAATCTGCCTATGATGCTATCAGAGAGGAGATGCCTAATTCTTTTGCATACAAGCACATCTGGCAGTCTAAATTACCCTTACAAATCAAATTGTTTCAATGGAAATTATTAAAGGGAATTTTACCTATCACTGATAACCTTGGCAGGTTCCAATTAATGCTTAACCCCTCCATTTGTCCATTGTGTAGGACACACGCAGATAGCACAGATCACATTTTTTTCGGTTGTTCTAAGGTCAAGCCTATATGGGAATACTTGATGGGTTTATTTGGAATACCTATCCTTTTCCAAACTATTTCTATTAGGCAAGTCTTCATTTCTTGGTGGCTTAAGGCTGGAGTTAAAAAATTAGAAGATGTCTTTAAGCTTAGCCTTCCAGGTATTGTTTCCCAGTTAACATGGGGATCGCAGGTCCAATGCCCTTGTCAGGAAAATCTCATTTCCCAGATTAAGCAGTATTCACAAATGTGGATTATGAGTATTTCAACAGCAAAGATCAATAAAATAGGCAGAATGCTCTATGAAGGAAAGGTATATTCCTAAAACTTTCAAGATTAAGCGGCCTAGTATTTTAGCAATTAAGTTAAATACAGATGCTAGGTTTTCACCTCAGTCTGCAGCGGGAGGAGGAGTCGGGAGGGCCACTTGGTCTGGGCTGCTTACTTTCCGATTAGAAGCGGAAATTCAGGCGCTGGTCCGAGCTACGAAGTGGGTGTTGCAGGCAGGCTATTCCGACTTTCAGGTGGAGGCGCTGCAGTGTCTCAGAAATGGTCATACGGACTTGTTGGTTCTGTCTGAGAGGAGAGGGGTTTCCTTTTCCGGTGATTGGAGAGAAACTAACTGGTTTGGGTTGCTCATCATCTTGGTTTTTTATTCTCAGCCCGAGTCTTTACCAGCCAGAGCCCGAAACTCTTACTTTATTGATCTTTTCGGGTTGCCTTTCTTTAAAATTAGTTAATTGTTTTGTTGTATTTTGGGTCAGGTCTAACCCCCAAAATTTCGATTCTTTTTCTCTCCTTGTTTTAATTTTTACAGATTAGGTCTGGTCTGGCCCCCTAATCTGCGTTCTCTTATTTATTTTCCGGTGTATTTCGAGGAGGAATGCCTTCTCTGAAGGGGTTTTGGTATAGTCCCCTTTCTTTTGTTCTGCTTATTTATTTTAATAAAATATGGCAAATGTTCCCGGCAAAAAAAAAAATATAAATCAAATAGCACAAAACTACACAAATTTAATAGCACCAAAGTTTGATATGTAAAAAATTAGACATCACTATCCGGAACCTATAAAGATAGCACTACAAAGTCATAAGAAATTACACTAGTCACTATTTTTTTTTTTTGAAGTTATATTTTTTAATTGGGAAAACTATCAAATAGGCCCCCGTACTATACTTAATTAGACATCACTGCCGCCCTTTCACTGAGTTAGACGCCACCCTTTACTACACTTAGGCACTTAGTCAGCGCCCTTCACTCCAGGAATCCAGCGATGGATGGCCGGCAACGAACTCCGACTCCAGCGATGGCAGTTGCAACGCAGTCAACTTCAAAAAATGATTTGAATGCCTTCCCGATCGAATTTTGAGCTGAAATTTGGTATGGATAAACTAGACTTTATGAAGAACATGCTCAAAAAATTTCATCAAAAAATTCCACCGGGAAGTGCCCGAAATGCCCTCGGCCGGACGGCGGTTCCCGTCAGGCCGGCTGGACAATTATAGGACTTTTCATGTCCAGCCGGCCTGACGGGAACCGCCGTCCGGCCGAGGGAATTTCGGGCACTTCCCGGTGGAATTTTTTGATGAAATTTTTTTAGCATGTTCTTCATGAAGTATAGTTTATCCATACCAAATTTCAGCTAAAAATTCAATCGGGAAGGCACTCAAATAATTTCTTGAAGTTAACTGGGCAGTTCATACATATAAACTGCCCAGTTAACTTCACAAAATTATTTGAATGCCTTCCCGATCGAATTTTGAGCTGACATTTGGTATGGATAAACTAGACTTCATGAAGAACATGCTCAAAAATTTTCATCAAAAAATTCCACCGGGAAGTGCCCGAAATGCCCTCGGCCGGGCGGAGCATCCCGTCAGGCCGGCTGGACAAGAACGGCACTCTATATATATATATATATATATATATATATAGGGGTGGGTTCAAGTAAAAAGTAGTCTTCTCATGAAAAGTGAGAACAAATTTTGACCTTTGATCACTTGAAAATGGATGGATAAGATGGACTTTATAAAAGTGCAAATGTTTATACTATAAAGTGGATAGTTACTGATTAAAATAGCACTCATACGTGTAAAAAAAGATTGTCAAAATTTTCCAACTTGTGCACTTTTTATTATGTAATGTATTGCACTTTTGTGCTCTACGGCTGCACTTTTTGACTATTCTGATACACATTTGCCACAACATTTTTAATAAAAGTTCTCCATAATTACAACAATGCCACCGCGTTTCAACATTAAAAATTGATCTCTTCCATCCAAATTTCTTCACATCAATGGCCAATATTAGTTCTTATTTTTCACTTAGGAAGTACTTTTTATTTGAACCAAACTCTATATATATATATATATATATATATATATATACACACACACATATATATTATACTTCATATATATGAAATATTTGGCTCTGCTTAAATCAATCACGGGAACAACAACACTGAAAGAGTCCGCCCTAGCATGAAATGCAATTACACTAGTCACTATATATGTTTAAGAAAACAATTTAAACCTTAATACTTTAGATTAAGATTAAAATTAAGATAATCAAATTAGTACTTTATTGAGCAAGAGTATTTGTTTAAAAAATTATATATATAAAAAATTGATGCATTTGGAATACATAATTTTTAAAGAAACTATAAGTTTTGTGATGATGGGACAGCGAATACATAATTCAGGATATAGAGATCGAAGCAACAAATTAAGAAAGGACGATGTAGTCATAAAATCGCTTGCCGGAAGTGACGTATAGGCTACTCTTGATTCTAGAGTGTTCATACGAATTTTGGTCTTCAAAAAGCTTAAAAAAAATAGATTATTAGAATGTCATATATTTTGGATCAATTTAGGACCTTTGGTTTCGAAGAATATACTCATAACATTTAAAAAAAGGATTACACTTCATTCATGAGGGTCTCCCAAAACCGACTGGATAGTTATCTGGGAGGATGTAAATAAAGCTTTGATCTCATTCTGATGAAAAGATAGTGTGATTCAATCTCAAGTCATTATTTGGAGTTGAACTCGAGACCTCTCCTTTGCGGCACCACTTCGTACTAGGTGAGGTACGTCTCCCGGTTATACTCGTCACATTAACAGTATATGATGTGTTTCATATGTAACGTACTTCTATTTTATCGATATTCTATTTGTTTATACTATTATGTTGAATAGAACATATTCAAATAAAATGACTACATAATCATCTAAGGCCTCATAATTACTCTAGACGGCCTTGATTCCCAAGAGTACCATAAAAATGGTCTGAAGATTCCGGTCCAATAATAATGCTACCCATACCCAAAATAAGGGTTGGATCTAGTTACAGACGGGAAGTGATCAGTTAAATCACAGTGGCTTGTTCGGTCACTGGTATAAACTAGTCTAGTATGTTTGAGTTGGGATCGGACCGGGCCCAGCTGGTAGTGGGATGGTCCTGTTCTAAATGGTCAATTAGTTTCTAATTTTTAAATTAGGAAGGTGTGATGAAATAGAAGGAAATAAGCAGAAGGTTAGGAAGGAGAGAATATATTAAGTATACTCTTAAGAGAGTTGATATTAATGGTGTTTTACAATGAAGGAGAAAGCCTTATTTATAGGTTAAACAAATGACTAACTCAGAATGAGGGGATTAATACTAGCAACATAATCACTATCTAGAAATCATAATTGTGGTTTCTGAATGATCTTGATGATAATAGTAATGAGTTATTAATCATGAATATGACTAAATTATTATATTTCAACATCCCGCTTCAAGAGTCATCTTCAAATTATTCATGAGTGTTAGTTTCCTAGTTAAAAACCTTACTATGCTTTTCACAAGTGGATGAAAATCATAGTTAAGGGAAAAAGAGTACAACATCTGATCTCATGATATTATGATGTATTGTTTGGTTAAAAATCTTGTTAGGAAAAATCTAATGGGATAAAAACTTGAATGAAGAGAAAAAGAGAGCAGTGCATATAATACCCCCTCAATTTAACATATATCTCGAAGACAATGGTTTTGTGAATAGATCATCAGGGTTGTTGCATGACTTGGTTTGTTTGACATCAACCATTCCTTCTTTCTCAAGATCATGTATGGAGAAAACTTTTGGTGTTATATGTTTTGTCTATCCCCTTTGATGTATCTTCCTTTGATCTGAGTTATATATGTCGTGTTGTCTTCATAAATCACAGTAGGACCACATGTACAAGATTTTATGCCGCATTCATTTTGTGTGTGCTAAATCATTGATCTCAACCAGACACACTCTCGGATTGCTTCATAAAGAGCAATTAATTCTACATTATTTGATTATGTGACAATTAATGTTTGCTTCATTGATCTCCACGAGATAGCGATATCACCATAAGTGAATAAATGTTATGTTTGCAATTTTGCCTTTCGTGGACCAAAAAGTACCCTGCATTGGCATAGCCAATTAATGTGGCATTTGTAACATTCTTGTAATATAATCCAAGATCGATTCTATCATTGAAATAACCGAATATATGTTTGTCGCCTTTCCAATGTCTTCTAGTTGTAGGAAGAATTGTACCTGACTAATAATATTACAGAAAAAGCAATATTTGGTCGTGTATTATTAGCCAAATATATTAGTACTCCAATACCATCAAATATGGTATTTAATTAGGGACCAAAGATTTATTCATCATCATTTATTTAATTGAGAGATCGAATCACCATTGGAGAATTGAGTGGGTGTGATTTATCATCATAAATTGCAATTATGATGATCCTGGTTTGGACCGCCAAATAAAAACACATGGACTAATAGGATCATTTTTATACCCTTCTTTAATCAAATACACTGAGACGATTATACCACATACGTCTAGAATGTTTCCGTATAATGACTTTTGTAATTTTATGGAAAGTGAGGCTCAGGATTCCGAGCTATAAGCATCAGGTAGTTTAAACCCTTCATGAATTTTCATATATATGTCTGTATCGAATGAGACGCATAAATGCGCGATCACCGCATTCATCAGGCGCATTTACAACCTTTCAAAAACAAACATGCTAATTAAAATCTTGAAATGTAAAAGTAGTAGCATCAAGTATTGGAGAATACGTGTCATCGTAGTCGATTCCTGCCATTTGGAAAAAATCTTAGGCAATAAATCTATGATGACATTCGTCAATATAGTTAGGCATTGTCATCGTGTTCATTCATTATACTTGTGGCAATGTCGTATAAAAATATATCATTAACATCAATATCTTTTTTATTTCATCACATTCCATTAGAAACATAATTAATTGAAGTTTTGAAATTATTGACGTTTATATCTTTATTTCGAATATTTACCTCTTGAAATTATTGACATTTCTATCTTTATCTCGAATAACTATATGCATTAAAACTAAAATCATAAAACGACAATGACTAACGGTTTTGATATACCTTTTCATATTCTCAGACAATGAGAATATGATATGAAAATCATCAGAATATGACTCACGGTTATGCTCATATTACATCCATGATATGAAAATCATCTACACCAGTTCCCTACATTTTTATCTTATTATCATAATATAGAGAATTGCATTGATGGAAGTTGAAGATTATGAATGAAAAATAATCATCTACATTTAGACGTGTGTGCCTTGTTTTAAATATAGCGGAAAGTAAAAATGTACTTGTGATTGTGCTCGTTTTCAGATAGGGTTATGTGTTTCATTTTTTTTATCAAAGTGGTTCAAGTGTTTAGATTCCATTATCACAAAGTCATGACACTTGACGCCGTTAGAAATCGCCAGAGGAAGACAATGAACAATTAAAAGATTAAAAGAAAAACGCCGGAAGATACACCTCAACAAAATGATCGCTACGTCATCTTTCTTTTTTGTTTCCAACCACCCTTGTCACTGGAAAGTACACCGGAAAAGTGATATTAGCGAATTTATTTTTTCAAAATAATCCAAACAGATCCGAAAAATCCAAAGACAGGGGTGATTTAGAGGTCATCTTGACAAGGCGCATCTTCGAATATTTTTTCTTTTAATTTTTCGGACACTTTTGGAAATCGAAGTTACTATTCATCATCTTCCTCAGACGTTGTTGACGCGTGACCCTCTTGTGATATCAGATTTCAAACACATGAACCACTTTGATTATAAAAAAAAAAGTAGCACATGACTCTATCTGGAAACCGGTCCAACCATAGGTACCTTTTTCGTACTTACACGACCCAAAAATGTATTGAGGTGTAATTTTTAATGTGTCCCGTCTACAATCATGTGCGTTTGTGCATCTTAGATGGCAATAACCCCCATCAAGGCATTGAATTGTTAATCGACGCAAATGGCCTTTTGGTAGGGTGTAGTTTCCGTCCCTATTGATTTGGAAGTCATAATGCGTCGTCGAATGTCATTTTTTGGGGTCCTAGTTTTGTGGAAAGGGTATATGTCAATTTATGAGTAGACGAGTGCACATTCAATCAATATGATGATAAAATCACACAATTTGACTCATCCGTTCATGTAGAGGCAGCGAGGAGAGGTAAAAGGCATGCAATAAATACACAACTGTTCTTAAAAACCAGTGCAGTCGATTAATGCAAGAACACAAGTATCATAGCGTACAAGTGTGTATTGGAACAAGAACCTTTTCTTTCTTATAACAGCAAGCGGGGGAGGGAATGTGGCAACAACTCCCTCATGGAGGGGCAACAAGTACACTACATTTCGCAATAACAAAGACGGCAAGGCATGCTTTCACTCCACGTGCCACTTGACCCATATCAGAGTTTACCTATAAAAATAAACAAAACTGTCAGCAATCCAAGCCCCAACCTAGACCCATATTTAAGCACATGGCTTAATAAACTACACCCGTGAAACTTAAACCATAATCTGGAAAAATAATGCAAGGTTAAACTTAGAAATAATACTACGTAGTTGATGAGATTGAGTAAACAAAACATAATTAACCATTGGTTTAAAAATCATTTCAAATTAATCATATCACCAACTATAATTCCCTGATTATGAGTCTTCAATCGAAGTTCACAAGAAAATATATTCTATTCTCCTGCTCAAACTAGATATGGTGCAACCACAGAACTTTTAAATCAATAAACTCTTATGCCTTTCCAAAAATGGAAATTTGTATTTACAGAAGTACTGTAAATTGATCAAACTAAAAAATAAAGTATGCGTGTATCTTAGTAATCGAAATATAGCAACTGAGATTTCAACACAAAGGCTACTATATATCCAACATTAGAAATTGAAACTTGAAATAAATGAATTAGATGATACCACTGGCTAATTTTTTGAGGCATCTGATATGAGATACATTGTATGTTCAATGCTTTGACCCCTCATCATAATATATGTCATCATCATATCTTCTTCTTCTTCCTGTAGAGCGCGAATCATCACATCTTCCTCTCTTTGAAGAACTATAATCTCTATCCCTCTCACGGCGTCTGCCATCGATCTCCTCTCCATGCTCCTTCCCAAGCCTTCCATGGTCTGCAACACTTTCATGCTTCTGTTTCACATCATCAGCATCAGCATTATCTATTTTGTGTTTCCTTGCCTGACTCTCATCATCCTTCATTTTTTCTCCACTATCCTGCATGTATCTACAAAGGTTCTTGTCACCAGTAGAGCGTGAGTCATGATACTTCCCTCTCTTGAGAGGTTCATATTCTACATCTCCCTCATGCAGTTTCCTACCAACCCCCTCTTCATGCCCTTCTCTAACCTTTACATGGTCCCTTTCATGCTTCTCTTTCAAATTTTCCTCATCTCTTTTGTGTTTTCTTGACTGCCCATCCTTCATTCTTTCTTTTATATCATGCCCAAGTCTAGAAATGTCCTTATCACCAGGAGAACGTGAATCATCATATCTAGTTCTCTTGGAAGATTCATATTCTTTACAACTCTCCTCTTCATGCCTTTTCCTAAGTTTTCCATATCCTGCAACCCTTTCATGTTTGTCATTCAACTTTTGTTCATCATCTCTTTTGTGTTCACTTTCATGTCTGTCACCATCTTTCCTGCTTTCTCTTCTATTTTGTCCATATCTTGAAAACTTACTATCACCTCCCTGACACACATGCTGCAACAGCTTTTTTCCACCTTGATCACCATCCACATAATCTGACTCTGAGGAAGAACGAGAGCTCACTTCAGTTTCAGAATGCCTCCTACTTTTTCTGTGCTTCCTTGTTGATTTCTTTGTCCTCTTCTTATAGTCAATCTCTGAACCATCAGAATCAATCTGTTTACGCTCTTCCACGTTCTTTTTAGTGACCCTTTCAGTGCACTCACCTACATCACTATCACTATCAGTGGAATCGTCAGTTCTTGTTGATTTCTTTGCCCTTGTCTCTGAACCATCAGAATCAGTATCTTTAAGCCATTTCTTTCCCTTCTTGTTCTTCTTGAACCTTTGAATGCTCTCTCCACCACTGTCATTCTCAGCAGAGTCTTCATTCCTTGTTGATTTCTTTGACCTCGTCTTATAGTCAGTATCTTTATGCCCTTTCCTGCTCTTTTTGTTCTTGAACCTCTGAATGCTCTCTCCACCACTGTCACTCTCAGCAGAATCTTCATTCCTTGTTGATTTCTTTGACCTCTTCTTATAGTCAATATCTGATTCAGTCTCTTTATGAGCTTTCATATTCTTTTTTTTTACCCTTCCAGTGCTCTCTCCAAGACTATCACTATCAGATGAATCCTCAGGGTCTCCCTTTTTCTGATACTTAGGAACACCTTTTCCCTTTATTTTATCCATTCTCCCATCAATTCTATGACTTTTTGACTTGTCATAATCATTACCACTCAATCCAGAGTCTAAAGCCTGAAGTTCAATCTGTTTCTTTCTATTTTCATTTTCATAACCGATCTTAAGTGCGTCCCTTAATTTCTCCATTTGTTTTTCCTTCCGCGCAGCAATTTGATGGGTTTGTGTTTCAGAGACCCTGAAACATCACAGCCACCACAAACTAGGTTAGCTCACGTGCAAACTTATGACCTATTATCTTGTTCCAAACAGACAAATTTGCAACACATAATATTACAAAATAAAATAGTCTAATTTAGTTTGATTTAAAAGTAAAAAGTTCTTAGTTCCACATTATCTATTTGAGCAGGAGACTAGAACATACTTTCTTCTAAACTTTGATGAAGACATGTAATCTGGGTAATGATAGTTGGTATTGATTCATTAGACATGTTATTTAAACCAAAAACTAATTATGTCCTACTTACTCCCACTCCCATCACAAGAAAAGAAGTGAAAATGTAAAAGTATTATTTCTAAGTTTTAGCCCACCAAAACTCAGCTCAGAAAAACATGTCTTTACAAAATAGTGTGTTGACAAAAATACATAAAATCCCCCCTGTATTTCAGCAAGTTACATTTTCAAAACAGCCTATTCCATGATAACTTTTCTAAAATACAGATCATTACAAACACTTGCAATCAAGTGGGATAAACTGCATCTTCTTCCATGTAACTCCAATCAGTTAGATTTTCTCAGTTTTCCATGTTAACTGTTCTAAATATCAAATGAAGTGGTTCAATCTGTCCCACATATGTGAGTTCGAAACATTCAATTCAAAAGTTAACAAAAAGTGAAACAGAATCCTGAAGCTTAGAGAACAGGAAAGCGTAGTTACATAAACTTATGAGACTTAAGAGCCACTTGTAGCCATGGAAGTTCAATGTTTCAATTCTAAAGACAGGATAGTTTCGTGGATAGTTTAAAAAAGCCGAGAAAATTAGTATTTTTGCCGCGTAAGTGATCACTAATTTTCCCAGAAAACAAAATCATCTGAATTATAGGACTACTTGTGCTGAAATTTAACTCGGGAGCAAGCACAAACTGCCTCTAAATTGTTATAGCCAGATGCCAGGTATATCTATTTTATTACTAAATGAGTTCCAGAATTCTTTGTATGGTTTCAATTAGAAAAAGGCACATTTATTTTTATTGTATGCAAGTCATGACTGTTCAAATTAGTATCCAAGCGGAGTAGCTCCAGCAAGGGTTTCACTCCTCAAAAAGCATCAAATCTATTTCTCAAAATATAACACCAAGGTATCACGGACCAGCATTATTAAAGTGAATGAAACATAATATTGTTACTTGTCAGAGGAACCAGCAGCAGCTTCAGACTCAGCGTCTAAAGTTTGTCGAGTCTGCTCCAATTTTTCAGCGATCTCAGCCTCCGTGTAGCCCTGCTCGGAGAGCGTCTCCTCCAGGACGATGAGCTTAAGCTGGATCTGACGTTTACGGTCGTGCTCCAGGATCTCTTTGTTAGGTTTGCGGGTCACGCCGGCGGTTCCCTGATTCTCCCCAAATCCTCCTTTACCTCCGGCATCCACGACAACCTTATTGGTCTTCGGTCTCACGAAAAATTTATTGGTTTGGACGTAACCGTTCGTCCCGGAGCCGCGAGCTGTCTGTAACCCGATTCCGTTGTACATCTCCGCGGAAACGCTCAAATATCAATTACGCAACCGGTGATTGCAGCGCCGCAAAAATCCGGGTGACAAATGGATTTAGATTTCAGGATAGCCGTACACAACTTTTTCCCCCAAACTGATTAGAACGGGGATAAGAGTTTTATTACTCCGTAAAAAATAATTTTATTTTCCCAGGTATATATCCTAAAATATACACCAAACCCTAAAACCCGAGAGTTTCTCTCTCTGGGCGGTTGTCTTTTCTCCGCTTTCGTCTTCGACGAGGAGCGGTTTTCTTTTGCACCTTTCGTTCGTCTTTCGTGAGACTCTCTTCTTCGACAGACCGCAACGCCTATAAGGCGGCCAAAAGTTGTGCACCCCTAACAGCAGGTGGAGAGTTTCGAGGATGTCGTTCTTGATTGAGATTAGAAGGTCATGGACGAAGCGTGGGGCCAGGGGCTGGAACAGATCTGGACGGGAGGCGAGAGGAGGAAGCTACAGTACTGTTGGACGTCCCCCTCCTAAACCGCCGCCATGGCGGAGTGCAAGAGAGTTTAGGGTTTGGAAGCAGTTTTCTAATTTTACGGTTTGCTTGCTTTTTATTTTCATGATCAGTCTATTTATTTTTCTGTTGGTTACTTTTTGTTATAAGATTCTTGCATTAGGATTGGGTGATGGAGATCTGCTTTAACCGTCGTTGGCTCATTTATACCCATTACAGGATCATCGAGTTATATTGCTTTTTTGGAGGATATTAACTCTAAGTTTGGTTCGAGGGCTAGCGGTTGTCTGTAGTCCTTTTGTCGTTTTATCCCATATCTGAATGTTGTGATAGTAATTTTAGTCATCTATTTTGACGATAAAAAAATATTCTAAAATGAATGATTAATTACTTAATCATTGACCACTTAAAAATAGAAAAATACTCCCTCCGTCCCGCTATGATTGTCCCATTTTACCATTTCGGAAAGTCCTACTAAGATTGTCTCATACCAAATTTGGTAAAGTTTGTGTGGCTCTAAATCATACTTACTTTATTTTTACTTTATCAATTTTATATCAACCACACAAACTCACCTTTCTTAATAATCGTGTCACTTTCTCTTGTCTCAATCTTAGTGGGACGGAGGTAGTAAAATTTATTAGAACCACAAATCAAGTATTTCAAAACATCATAAAAATTTGAACCTAATATTTACAAATTATATATGCCTAGATTCAAATTTATGAATCTCTTATCACATCAACCTCAACATATGAAGTCTTGTCCCGATAGTGAAATACAAATATGAATTACAAAAACATTTAACTTCCAAAAATTCAACATATAAATTTAAAAACAATAATGTATATAAGTAAAATGATGAAAATGAGATATTTTTTCTAAAATATTACTAATAAAAATTCTATGGATAAAAAATTGACTATAAATTACCATGAGTAAGTTTTACAGTCCTACAATATAAAATTTGGATACAATTATAGAGAACAGGTTTGCCCGTTTGAGGACCTTCCCGGTGGATTTTTTTATGGAAGTTTTTAAGCATGTTCCTCATCAAGTCTAATTTATGAAAACCAAATTTTAGGTCAAAATTCAATTAGGAAGACAGTTAAATAAATTCTTGAAATATACTGCGCTTTATATATGCGCATTATGTTGGAAGAATTTATTTAACTACCTTCCCGATTGAATTTTGAGCTTAAATTTGATGTGCATAAACTAGACTTGATAAAGAATATGGTCAAAAAAACTTTCATGAAAATATTCGCAATTATCTACAACTAGTATTCTCACTCGTGCGATGCATGGCCTAAATTTTTAACCTTAGACTAAAATATTGAAATCCAAATAAAAACCTGAAGAGCGAGGCCGGCTTTTAAAACACTTTTCTGGGTTTTGCATGACGGCGATCACTTTGACTATGTCCAATTGAGCTCGATCTCGTTGATCAATGGAAAAGCTGCATGCTGTTGGAAGAAGTGAATGTGGAGGAGGCGCTGTCAGACCTAAACTTTTCGATCCCAAACTAACTTCTCAGTGGTTGGACGAGTTCTATATATCGGTGAAGATTACTACTATTTAGAGCTGAGATATATACCATGCATGGTTGGTGCATGCTTCGAGGCCTGGTTGACATTAAAGAATTGGAGGAGTAGGGTGTTGACGAGTGCCCCGTGGTCTTATGAGAATAGTATTGTCATTCTTAAGCGTCTGGAGCAACCCATTAACAGTTCCTTTGACTCGTGAGAATTTCTGGATCCAGGTGTATGTATAATCTACCCTTACAAAAAAAAAATTGTCAAGATCATCGGAGGTCATGATGACAGTTTGTCCAAGCCGAGATAATCTTCAAATCCCTCAATCCGCTATAGTTAGGGTGAGTGATCATTTCTACGTCTAATTAGATAGTAAGGGTATTGAGATATTATTAATTAACTAAGTTATTAGCCTTTATATTTTCATTATTGAATATGTAATGTTTGGTGTTGATAAGATAGACATACGTGGTAGCATGTCATACATATGGCCCATGCACCACTTCCATCCCCTTTCCCATATCATTTGCTTATATATGTGTGTAATTCGTATATTCAATGTAAGAAACATGCATGTTATGTGCATCTCACCTTTAGTGAAGGGTTTTCTCATTTTCAATAGTTTCGTACTTTACAATTTTATCATGGTATCAGAGCCGAAATCCTGGAAAAAGGAATTCTAATTTTTCATTCACTTCGTTCAAATAATTCTCCTATATCCGTTTTAGGCTATGGAGGTTGGTGATGTCATCATTAAGCCCGTATATGAAAATATGGGTTGTTTTTCTTCTACTGCTCAAGTAAATACAACTTGCACATCCTCGCATGTTTGTCCTTGGATAATTGATTCTGGGGCTACTGAGCGTATCACTTGTAGTGATATTAATCTTTTTAACATCGTTAGTCATGTGGCAGAATCATCAGTCAAAATTCCTAACGGTGAATCGATTCCAGTTCATGCTGTCGGAAGCTTATACTTACCCAATGGGATCCGTCTTGAGCGTGTTTTGTACATTCCAAAATTTCAATGCAATTTACTTTCTGTCAGTCGTTTGACAAGCGATCTAAATTGTACACTGACATTTTTCCCAGATTTCTGTATTTTTCAGGATGTACCCTCGAGAAAGTTGATTGGTGTTGGTAAATCTCGTGATGGGCTCTATTACTTGGAGCCTCTAAGAAGTGAAAGGGTGGCAATGTCAGTCTCTATTACATCCGATTTATGGCATCAACGTCTCGGACATGCATCTGATGGAAAATTACAACACATTAATTATCTCAAGGGTTTTCAACGAAGTGGTAATTTTTGTGATCCCTGCGTGCGGGCAAAACAGACTAGACTTTCTTTCCCTACAAGCAAAATCAAGACAGCTCGTAGCTTCGAGTTAATACTTAATACACTGTGACATTTGGGGAGGCTACAGGTGTGATTCAATTTCCGGAGCACGATATTTTTTATCTATTGTTGACGACTTTACTAGAGGTGTGTGGGTTTATTTAATGAAAAATAAGTCTGAAGTTGCTCAATTTTTAATTCAATTTTGCAACATGATTGATACCCAATTTGAGAAAAAGGTCAAACGAATACGGGCTGATAATGGTGTAGAATTTCAAACCAATCATTTATTTGATTATTACCGTCGCACTGGGATACTATTAGAAACATCTTGCACAGACACACCACAACAAAATGGAGTTGTGGAGCGTAAGCATAGACACATATTGGAAATTGCGAGGGCACTACGTTTCCAGTCTGGGTTGCCTATTGATTTTTGGGGGGACTGCATATCGACAGCAGTTTACATTATAAATAGGCTGCCTTCACCAGTTATTTTTAACAAAAGCCCTTATGAAATGTTATTTGGAAAAACTTCTATCTATGATCATTTGCGGGTGTTTGGGTGTTTGGTATACGCCCATGATAATAAACGGAAGGATAAATTCGGTGAAAGGGGGAGTCCTTGTATATTTATTGGGTATCCATACGGTCAAAAAGCTTACCGAGTTTTTGACTTGCAAAAACACTCTGTATATAGCTCTCGGGATGTGACATTTTTTGAAGAAGTTTTTCCGTTTAAAATGATTAAAAACCAAGAGCTTGATTTTGGGAATCTTATTGATCAAGTATTTCAAGAAGTATTGAAACAGGGATCTACAGCTGTCCAAGATAAACAGTTCAATGGTGATTTTCTGTTACAAGAAAATAGTAATTATTTTCGTCCCAGCTCCAACGACAAAGAAGTGCGTGGGTTTATTCAAAAAGAGGGAGAGTCGGCGATTTCGGTTAAGAGCCAATGCATTCCAAAAGAAAAAGATGGGAGCACAATTATTTTGGATGCATGTGATGATAATAGATCGACACAACTACCTCCACTTCTTGGAAGGACCATTGAAAATCAATCAGGAGCAGCACCAAAGGGCCCCACTGGACAAGCACCCATTTGCATTGATTGCATGGATAATTCAAGCAATTATCTATCTACTGGGTTGCTGCATGCAAATGAAATAGCCACCACACAAAATTCTTTTGAGCAATGGGACCCCAATGAACAGTTTACTCAAAGAGACAGAAACGATTTGGATTAGAGTCACCTTCCAGGTCCACATGCAAATCCTCCAAAATTGCATGACCCCATCTCAAAATCACAGGCATGCATCGAGGAAGATAGGCGCGGTCAACCGTCAATAGTGACTGAATACATTGCACCGCCGGCTGCACAAAAACAAGGAGTGAGAACTCGGAAAATTCCCAAACATTTAGAGGACTATGAGACTGACATACCCCCTTCACTTGATCACTCACGGTCAACCACCGCCAATTCAGCTAACTCAACGGTATATCCTATTTCTCATTTCATTAATTATGATAAATTTACACCCACTCATAAAGCCTATCTAGCGGCCATCACCTCACGTGATGAGCCCAAATATTTTTCACATGCCGTACAGGATCCTTTGTGGAGAGAGGCCATGCAAAAGGAGATTAACGCCCTGGAAGAAAATAATACTTGGACTTTAGTCAATTTACCGCCCGGGAAAAGAATTGTGGATTCCAAATGGGTTTACAAAATCAAATATAAACCCAATGGCGAAGTAGAACGTTACAAGGCTAGATTGGTAGCCCGGGGTTTCACTCAAGTTGAGGGAATTGATTTTCACGAGACTTTTGCACCGGTTGCTAAGCTTGTCACGGTGCGATGCATGCTAGCCGTCGCAGCTAAGCGTAATTGGATTGTACACCAACTAGATGTGAATAATGCTTTTCTCCACGGTGATCTCTCCGAGGACGTCTATATGCGTATTCCCCAAGGATTCATGAAAAAGGGTGATAATCGTGTTTGCAAATTACAAAAATCCTTATATGGACTACGACAGGCTTCTCGCAATTGGTATAAAAAATTTACTCAAGCTCTTAATGGAATAGGTTTTCGCCAATCCCGAGCGGATCACTCTTTATTTATTTTTCGACAAGGTCTCGTCACAACGTTTGCCCTCATCTACGTTGATGATGTCCTCCTAGCCGGAAATGACGGTTCTCACATTTCCACCATTAAAGAGTATTTAAACATTTAAACAACAAGTTTAGCATCAAAGACTTGGGTAAATTAAAATACTTCCTCGGCATTGAAGTTGCTCGTTCTCCAGAGGGTTTTGTCTTAAGCCAACGGAAGTATACTCTTGATATCTTGGAAGAAAGTGGCTTTCTAGCGGGCCGTCCCAGTTTGTTTCCCATGGAACAAAATCTAAAACTTCGTCCGGACGATGGTAGCCAACCAGTAGACGCGTCTTCCTATCGCAGACTGATCGGGCGCCTATTGTACCTCATTGTAACTCGTCCAGATATTGTCTATCCTGTCAGTCAGCTCAGCCAATTCCTTTGTCATCCGCGACAAAGTCATCTCGATGCCGCCATCCGTGTATTACGTTATCTGAAACAGACACCTGGTCAAGGAATATTTTTATCATCTGATAGCAATTTCAACTTAAAAGGATATTGTGATGCAGATTGGGCTGGTTGTTCCTTCACTCGTCGCTCTAGCAATGGATATTTCATTTCTCTTGGAAATTCACCTATCTCTTGGCGAACAAAGAAACAATCAGTTGTTTCACGCTCTTCCGCCGAAGCCGAATATCGCGCCATGGCAGTCACAGTTAGTGAAATATTATGGTTGCGTTGGTTACTCCAGGACCTTACAGTCAATCAAATAGGTCCCACGCCTCTTTATTGTGACAATCAAGCAGCAAGGCACATTGCACTAAATCCTGTTTTTCATGAACGCACAAAACACGTAGAAATGGATTGTTATTTTGTAAGAGAAAGAGTTGCTAGTAAAGAGATTCAGCCAGTATCTATCTCCACAACCAATCAAGTGGCTGACATTTTCACCAAAGCACTTGGCACTGATCGTTTTCAGTTTCTTCGAAGCAAGTTGGGTGTTCGTAATCTTCACACTCCACCTTGAGGGGGAGTATTGAGATATTATTAATTAACTAAGTTATTAGCCTTTATATTTTCATTATTGAATATGTAATGTTTGGTGTTGATAAGATAGACATACGTGGTAGCATGTCATACATATGGCCCATGCACCACTTCCATCCCCTTTCCCATATCATTTGCTTGTACTATATATATGTGTGTAATTCGTATATTCAATGTAAGAAACATGCATGTTATGTGCATCTCACCTTTAGTGAAGGGTTTTCTCATTTTCAATGTCCTTAGACTGAGCTTAGAAGTCAATGTAAGGGTTATCACCATTAACAGTTCCTTTGACTCGTGAGAATTTCTGGATCCAGGTGTATGTATAATCTACCGTTACAAAAAAAAATTGTCAAGATCATCGGAGATCATGATGACAGTTTGTCCAAGCCGAGATAATCTTCAAATCCCTCAATCCGCTATAGTTAGGGTGAGTGATCGTTTCTACGTCTAATTAGATAGTAAGGGAACTTTCGGGTTATGATGAGTACGTTTGGTAGCAGGAGGCTGGTCAATATTGAAAAGTTTGTAATGTGTTCTTGGATTCTACTCCGTAATATAATCAGTCAGCTGCCTTAAAAAAACGCGATTGTGATCTAGTTTGCATAGATAAAGTCTGAAAAGCAATTTTTTTTCTTGTTACGCCGAGAAATAACTGGAGTGAAAGAGCAATCTTCAGTGACATCAATTAAATCATTGTGTTCAACCAATGCCGGAGAAGTCACTGAAGAAACGGATGAAGATCCAGCAACACAATGACCTCAAGTCTCAAGTTTCATCCTTTTGTCTAAAATCCTTTTCATTCATAAAATAATAAAAGATAAATATACCAATAGTTATCTATTGACCATATTACGATCAACTAAGTAGTACTCCCTCCGTCTCATTTAAAGGTTCCCGTCCACT